TTCATAGGATATGAGCTGGGTTTCTTCAAATACAGTTGCCTCTATGGCTTTACTTTCTTGAAGATACTTAATTTTTTTTTTAAATTTGATTTATATGCCGCCCTTCTCTGGAGACTCAGGGTGGCTTACAGTGCGTTAAGCAATAGCCTTCATACTTTTGTATATTTTATACAAAGTCAGCTTATTGCCCTCACAAACTGGGTCCTCAATTTACCTACCTGAGAAAGGATGGAAGGCTGAATCAACCTTGAGCCTGGCAAGAGGTCAACTGAGGTCAACTTTGGTAACAGCCATCATGGTGTATAAAAATTTAGGAGATAGATCCAAATAAATTTGTACACATCTATGCATTCTTAGATTTCAAATTGCTTGGGCCTAAAGTTGGCTTTCTGTTATATGCACTGAAAATTTCAGCTTCTCAGAATACCAGTTATCCAGTACAATTATATAAAGTGTGTTTTGAAGTGAATACAAGTAATTACTGAGCTACAGGTTGATTGCAAATAGGGTCTTAAAAGAAAACTGCATGATAATTCTTTAAGAATTTCACAAATCTCTGTGTTCGATCAGGAGTGAAGAAATTATCTCAGAATTGGGAGGAAAGTACACTGATGTTGGGGGGGCAGCAATGTACGCATGAGTCTCTTGCCAGTGCAAATCAAAAAGGCTATTTTAAACCTAGAAAAAAGTTGCCTTAGCAAACAGGAGAATCCATAATGGCTTCAAGTGCAAGTACATACAAACACGACAGAATTCATTGACTACATACTTGCAGCAACAAGCAAAAAATAAAATAAAATAAAGGGATTTCTGTTCAATTTGCCCCCAGTTCGCAAGAACCAGTAGTAAAACCGGCGGGAGGCCCCACCCACCGCCCCAGATGTCATCATCGGCGATCTGTGCATGCGCAGAAGCAAGGTGCTCGCGCTTGCTTCGCTCGCGCGCATGCGCAATCCCATTGCAAACCAGTAGTAAAGGTAAGTAGAACCCACCCCTGCCCCAAGGGTATTGGTAGGAGCTGCAGGAAGGCCTTACACGGAAGTATAGAAGCCAGGTAGAGGATGGCATCAGAGTAAAGAAAATAGATGACAACACAGGTAGCCATTGATTGAAGTTGCGACCTACCTTTGCAACTGGGTCATACCTCTTATGACCCAGTTGCAAAGGTTCAATAGTTTCCCTCCCCCCTGTGGTCATATGAACTCACTTCAGGTGCTCAGTAACATGCCGTATTTATGGCTGTTTGCCGCATCCCACCACATTTTTACAGCGGTTTTGCCAAAAGCTGGCACTTCTAGTTTTCAGCAAAACCACACTCAAAGTGAACCATGGATTTGCTCTTAAGACTCTATGTTTGCTTAATGACCATTGCAAAAAATGTTGTAAAATCAAAGTCACATGCACAACCTGTTTTACAACTGTCCTGTCATACGACAGGCTCCATTATGGTCCTATGTTGAGGACCTCCTCTAAGTACTATTATGAGCAACAGAAAACCCAGAGAGGATTATGTATCAGTTGTAACTGATGACCATTTGCTAAAAGTAGAGCCTTGCTAGTCGTTAGCAAGTGAGACCAGGAAAAGAGAGGACAATAGTCCTGGGTTTGGAAACCACAAGCAAGGAAGAAAGGAGAAAATAGCATGAAGATCAACTTAAAAAATTAGGAAAATAACATACTTAGGAGTACAGAGGAGTTAGATAGTTAGCACTGGAAAGCATTACTCTGGAAAGGAAACCGATTGCAGTGGAAAGGTATACCTTGCTTTACAATCACAACTGAACTCAAAATTTCTGTTTCTAATGAGATATTTCTTAAGTGAATTTTGCCTCATTTTATGATCTTTCTTGCCACAATTGTTAAGTGAACCGCTGCATTTATTAAGTTAGTAACACAGTTGTAAAGGGAACCTGGCTTCCCCATTGACTTTGCTTGTCAGAAGGTCGCAAAAGGGGATCTCATGACCCCAGGACACTGCAACTGTCATAAATATGAGTCAGTTGTTAAGCGTCTGAATTTTGATCACGTGACGATGAGGATGCTGAGGTTGTAGATGTGAAAAATGGTTATCGGTCACTTTTTTCAGTGCCGTTGTAACTTTGAGCTATCATTAAATGAACTGTTGTAAGTCAAGGTCTTGTAAACCTGTAGTTTATAGTGCAATGACTAAAAAATGTAACACAGGAATGAGGAATAAGTTAAATTTACGTCCTATCAATTTCTTATTGTAATAAATGTTTTGTAAAAGTGGGTTGCCTTGTATTGTGCTGGGGTTTGTACCTTGTACAAACCTAATCTTTGTAGGTGAACAAAGGAGCATTACTATTCAAACTATTCACTAAGTCTGCATTACTATTACTATTAATCTTCTCATTGTTCCTATCACCCATCTCCTCCCACTTATGACTGTATGACTGTAACTTTGTTGCTTGTATCCTTACGATTTATATTGATTATTTCCTAGTATGATTTGATTGCTTATTTCTACCCTATGACTATCATTAAGGGTTGTAACTTATGATTATTGACGAATGTATCTTGCCTTTTTATGTACACTGAGTGCATACGCATCAAAAACTTGTGTGTCCAATCACACTTGGCCAGTAAAGAATTCTATTCTATTCTATTCTATTCTATTCTATTCTATTCTATTCTATTCTATTCTATTCTATTCTATTCTATTCTATTCTATTCCATTCCATTCCATTCCATTCCATTCCATTCCATTCCATTCCATCCCATCCCATCCCATGTTTGTTGGCTTCCCCATTATGAGATAAGATTTAATGTGACAGAACGTCATAAATATAATGAATAAGACAGTTAATGTTTTAAAAGTCTTACTATCTGGTATTGGCTTAGGCTGAGAACTCTTCAAACGTAGGGAAGGCCGGAAGCGTGTTCGGTCATTGAAGCTCCAACTCTTTTGCACTTTTGTTGGGCTGCCCTCTGCAGTAATATCCGTACTTGGTGATCTTCTGTCCCCAACTGAAGCTTGTCTGTTCTTGACACTCTGGCCTCTCGGGCTAGCCATCCGCACCCGTTCTTTAAAACTCAGCTTCTGACTGTGGAAGCAAAAACGTGCATTTTTACTTCACACACATTGATTTATGTACCATTATAGATGAAGATACACGTTCAGCTGCATGTCTTTGGATGCAGATGTGAATGTATTCCATGTGTTGAACTCCCTTCCCTCCCTCCCCCCCCCTTCCAGTAAAATAAATATTTGCGCTGGTCAGTTCTTGATACAAAAGGAAGTAGGAAAACTTCAAGAATCACGGAAATCCCCATACCTGGAAAAGCTCACCAAGCTGCATTATTAAGACCAAATACACAGTGATATTAATACTGATCGCAATAATAATAAAACACATTCCAGACATTATAAAGAATTGGAAGAAAAGTAAAATATGTGACTGCCTCCCCTTGATTCCGTAGTAGCTCCCATCCTAAACTGTGGGATTTGTCTGCCTTGATACCAAAGCCTTGATGTTAGGGAACGCTTCTGTGAGATGGCCAGCGAGATAAATTGGATGGATGGATGGATAGATGGATGGATGGATGGATGGATGGATGGATGGATGGATGGGGATCCATAAAAGTGCATTTCTAACAGATTGAATCACTTTCTTTATAATATGATAGGTATTAGAGATTTCATCGGAGGAATGTACTATTCCTGAGAAAAAGATCCTATAATACAGTAAGAGTGAAACAAAATCAACTAACAAAAAAATATCAAATTTAAACTTAGCAAAGTTTCAGCTATAAATTTTGGGCAGCTCTAACTATGCTTTTAAATTGTACAACATAGGCTGTGTACGTAAGCTGCTCTACAATGGAATCAATAGTTTTCAAGTGCCATTATTTTTGCATGCAGTTTGTTAAAGTTAGACAAGCAAGATTAAGGTTATTATTCATGCACGCTTCCAAACATGGCATTTTTCAACAGCCCATAGACATTAGCAAACACTACATTTCAGATTTCTTATCACCCAAAGCTCTATGCATACACAGACATATACCATATATTACTAAAACTCTCATGTTTATTGATTTGCTTGTTTCCTCGTGTTTGCTCAAATGCTGCATTACCTCATAACATTTTTTGAACCAAGGTACCTAAAATCTGCTAACTTAAAGAATGCATAAAAAATCTGGGACCCATTATTCCTGTGGATTTGCAATTTCCATGACAGACCAGTTTTATTCACAAAGTTTTGGTTGTTGCGATGTCCCCCTGGTCACATGATTGTGATTTCCCGCCAAGTTGCCAAAGTTAATGGAGAAGCCGGCAGAAAGTTGGAAGTCACTACCATCTAAACACTTTTTTGCCCAACTGTGGTCATTGTGTTTATGTAAATAAATATGGATTCATTATTGAAGTTCGTTTGCCACTAAAATTGTTTATTTATGATATATATTCTTCTTACATGATCATGAGACCCTGGATGAGAGTTAAACAAAACTGGACTTCTTCTGGTCACATGAGACTGCCCTATCTTTTTCTTAAGAATGGCCCAATGGATCACAGAGTTGTCTACTTATCTAACAAAATTCAGAATAAGTAACAGAATATTCAGTAGGTCTATCAGTAGAAAGATTGGCTCACAGAAATGTAATATTACATTCTGGGAAAGGGATTATTTATTTGCCAGTAATAGGCTATAGAACCAAATAAAACACGCAGATTAGATAATTAGTTTTTATCTGATCAAAGTTGCCTTTTATCTTGAGATATTAAGGACATAGATTGCTTGTTTGTAGATACTCCTATCTGATTTGTACAAAAGAGTTACAAATTGTGAACTAGGTAAAATCTGTTTATTTTTTAGGTGTACTACAACTAATAACAGAATATGAATTGTATTGAGTTAACTACCACAATCCAGCATTCATTCATTCATTCATTCATTCATTCATTCATTCATTCATTCATTTATTCATTTATTTATTTATTTATTTATTTATTTATTTATTTATTTATTTATTTACAGGAGCGGGCAACATTTTGAAGATATTTTCCTAGGATTCTGTAACGGCAGCTGCTATCCTGGAACAATTGTTACTTCTTGTTAGAAATTGTAGACTGATGGTATGTAGATGTGCATGGCATTCCAAAATGAAGGGCTGCATAGCTCAGTTTACTTAGAAGTATATCATTTTTGACTTAAATGATAATTTTTAGTCAATGTTCTCTCAATGACTTACAGATAATTCTCACTCAACAACCATTTGTTCTGCAACCATTCAAAATTATGAAATTACCATAAAGTTATGGTAATTGTAATACACATGTGATCACATGAATACAATCTGGATACTTGGCAAAGCATTTGCACCTACAAATGGTTGCCTATACCCTGTGATCATGTGAATCACATTTGCAATCTTCTATGCCAGCTTCCCTAGAAAATCAATGAGGAAGACAGCAGGGAAGGTTGCAAGCTGCTGCTGCCTGGCCAGAAGACTCCCCCAGGTTTCTGTGGGCTGACTGAAAAAGCTCTCTGCTGAAATCCAAGTGGGATTTTAGCATGGAGTATTTACAGCCTGGGGTATCTTCTGCCAGCTGCCAGAGACAAGAGGATTCTTTCTCATTTCTGGGGGCTGGCTGGAAAAGGCCTGTGGCTAAAATCGAAGCAGGATTTCAGCCAAGTAGAAATTACAGCCTCAGAGTGGAGAGGTAGCATGATAAGGACATTGGGTGCCTGGGGCGGTGGGGTGGCGGGGAATGGCGGGGAGGAGGTCCAGTGCAGGCTGCACATAAGTGTCTTCCTACTCAGGGGCTGAAAATCCTTTGATTTCAGCAGGAAGGATTTTCAGCTCCTGAGCAGAGAGGCAGCACAATAAGGTACAGTAAAGAGCATGGGATGCCTTGGGGTGGAGAAGGCCTGCTGCAGGGTGTGGATTTTGACAGGGAGGATTTTCAGTTCCTGAGTAGAGAGAGACTTGTGTACAGCCTGCACCCCAAGCTCCTAAGGTCTTCCTCACCCGCTTGAAGCACCCCATGCTCCTTACCTGGCACTCTGTCCTATTAACGGCCTGTTAAGATTGTTTAAAGACCGCAACCAGGGGTGTCAAGATTGTGGTCACTGAGCAAAGTGATCATGTGACATCTTGGTTAACAACCACTTTGCTCAGTGATCAAGATTCTAGTTCCAATTGTGGTTATTAAGGAAGGATTACCTGTATAGAGATTGCAAATTAGACTGGATTATATTGGGATTTGTACGTTAAAATCTGCAACATACAGTAATTTCAAAGGAAATCAGGAAAAAAATAAAGATGCCTTTTAAGGAACAAGCAGAAGAAAACCTGAAATCTCTCCCAATTGTATTTGTTCCTGGGATGAGTAAAGGCTGTCTCTGAAGAAGCAAATTATTTGGGCCATTAAGGTACAGATGGAAAAGCCTATCTGCCTGTTGCTATAGCTGCTAATCGAGTTCAGGCCTTGTCTGTTCTATTTAATCATGGTTCTTGCATCTTCATGCAACATGACAATAAAAACAGAGGAAATGGAAATGGATTCTACCACCACCAAAAGCCTTTAAAAATACATTCTCGGTGTCTTGCTGCTTTAACTAGGTACAATCTAAAAAGGAAATGTTTCTCTGTGGGATTATAGGAAATGAAATGAAATTATGAGACAGTGATTATGAAATTGGTACATAATAAAAAAAATGTATACATGCAATTTAATATGTTTTATTACAAATTCAAGCAGAATAGGCAGGAGACCAAATGCAGTGAATCAAGCACATGCCAGACAATTTCTAAAATTATAGTTTAAAAACTGCAGTAAAACAATTAGAAAAATGTGTGCTTTTCATTGTGGCATTCAAGAGGGTACCTTTTCCAGAACTGTTTTACCCTTTTTAACTAGAGAAAGTAAACTTTTTAAGAAAAACAATCATGAGAAAGGCCTTCAACCTTAATTTCTGTTACTTGCAATGTAATTATTATTGCATAAACATTCATCAAGGATATTCCCATGTTACTTTTCAGAATTAATGTACTTTATTGGTTACAAGGCAAATCCTAAGGCTTCATGCCATGTTAAATTACTCTGGTGGGCATAGAAGCCACTCTAGATTTAGAGAACATTTCTGGTTAGCACTAGCCAGAATTTGACGATCACAAACAATGGTTTCAAATGCAAGTTGGTGTTAACTGGAAATGTCAGTGGCTCTGGGCTCAAGAGGAAATATTTAACCACAGGAAAGCCTGACTGTGCTTACGGAATCATATGGAATGAGAGTGTTGGTGCTTTACTGTGCCATGGGAACCAGTTTCAGATCCTGTTTGCTTTACATTTACATCTATTGAGTATCAAAACTGATTAGAGAAATCAATTATATACTTCTGAACAACAAAGTCAGTGTGAAGCTAATGAATATTGTGGTGAGTGCTATATTTTGAACTACGTTCACTGCATAAGTTAGCAATATTCAGCAAAAACTAGCACCCTGAAATTCCAGGATTATTATCAGTTTGGCTTTTTGGAATTATAAAACCCACCATGTTGTGGTCTATGAATTAAATACTATGTACTATAGCTTTCAGACATAATATTTAAAATATTGTATGGTTTGGTTTCTTGCACTAAAACTGTTTTATTTAAAAATAAGACGGTGAATGACAGCAATAATTCGTATTTTTATTTTCTGCCATATTTATTAAAATTAATTCAAGATTAATTATCCGTTTAAAGTTTCACATACAGTATGTTTGGGAAACAGCAACATTCTTTGCTCTTCCCTGTTTGTTTAGAAATTGCAGAACCTGCCAGTGACTAGGAGTGGAGAGACTACACTGAGATCAACTTGTGAATTGATTATTAGTTTTGATCATGACATTTAGATTTTTGACACAATCCTATATGAAAGAGCATCAACTGAAACTGATTCTATATCCAGATTTGTGAGCCAGCTTCAAGAGTAGGCTGCTTTTTATTTGTAAGCATTAGATAAATTTTACACCTTGGTGTGCTTTTTTTCCTAATCTGAACTTTTCTCAGAATATAGGAAACCAATTCTTATAACTACAGTTCCTCGGTTTTGTTATACCATTATTGTACTCCTGTAAATATATTTTATAATGTCCATGCTCTACTGCAAGGGTCTCCAACCTTGGCAACTTTAAGACTTGCTGGGAGTTGATATCTCAAGTCTTAAAGTTGCCAAGGTTGAAGACCCCTGCTCTACTGTAATGCCTAGGAAGACTTTAAGGGATGGCAAAAGTGTTCGAATCCATTCTTTGCAATCTCACTGGTTTCCAGTCACTATTTATATTAAGGCTGCATAGTAATGGACTACATTCTTGCTCTTTGTCTTTGGCACTTATTTGATTTCCCAAACTAATTTTTCCTGGAGTTGATAGTTTATGTTAGCACAGAATTCATGTACAGTAGTGGAAATTGAGAATCCATGATGTAGTTAATTTCTCTTATTTTTGTATGGGCTCAGTGTGATGGATATCCATATTGAGCCCATATCTGATATCCAGATATTCCAAAAATAGCCAGTTCCAAATAGGGCAGTCTATTGTAGCATGAAACCTGAAAAAAATAAAAAAGAAAAAGCAGGCAGGCAAGCTAGTGTATGTTGTTCATTTCTTTATTGCCTTGGATGTTCCAGCATTTTAACATTCCCAATTCTCCAGTCTTTGCTTTGCTACTTAGTTTTGGTGAACCATGTCTCTTGTCAGTCAGACCTTCCAGATATTAAGTGCGTTTAGGATGATAGCTTACTGTCCAGGCAAGGACTCTCTGGTTCTTTTAATTTTGGTTTCCTGAAGCTTTGCCTAGAATTATAATTCATTTCATCCTGGATTCCTGCCTGGGTGAACCATGGACTCTTGTCTACTTGAAATCATTTTATTAGAACCATTTTTGTTGCAGACCATATCCCCCTTACATTTCCCGAGTTTTAGATATTTGGAAATGATTGGCAAAAATGTCGGTCTTCATCCTGATTGGATTTTAGGGCCTTCTGGATCTGAGACTTTAACATGTTTGGTACTGAATCAGGTGGCACTGCCCCAGATAGAACTGACTTGAAAACTGGGGGCCTTTCTGGACTCACAACTCCTGCTCTGCTCTGCTGACAGATATTCATACCCTGGTCAGGAAATACTTTGTATCGATTATTGTAATGCACTCTAGATGGAGCTGCCCTTGAACAGTATCAGGAAGCTTCAACTGGTGCAAAATGCAGAGTGGCATGGGCAGTTATATGTGCCCCTAAGAAGGCAGATGTTACATCTTTGCTTTGTGAGCTGCATTGGTTGCTAGTTTGCTGTTGGAATAAATTCTAGGTGCTGTTTTTGAGCTTTAAAGCCCTAGATGGCATGGATCCAAGTTATCTGAGGGATTGCCTCTTCCAAATGACATCTATGCATCCAATCAGATGTGGCAGGAGAGGGATGTTTGTTTGTGGATTCCGTCTGCGAGAGTCCTATCTGATGGTACCTAAGAGGTGAGCCTTTTCAGCCATAGCACCTGCCCTCTGGAACATCATCCCACTTGAGGTGAGGTTAGTTCCATACTTAATGACTTCTGGAAAACCCTTAAAACATGTTTTTTTTCCCAACAGGCCTGGAGAACTCCTGGGGGTAAGGAATCCATGTATTGGTTGTATTATGCATGATATTTCCCCACTTGTGGCTTTGCTTTGATCTATTATTACTGTTTGTTTTTAATTGGTTTTGAGTATGTTTTAATAGTAGGTTTTATTGTATGCCACCCAGAGTCACTTTGTGTGAGATAGGCAGCCATATAAATTTGACAAATGAATAAATAAATGCCTTCTCTTTGTTGGAGAGATGAATAACCATGTAGTTTTGGTTGAACATAAGCTCAGATTTAAGATCGCTGTAAACTTCTGAAAAACTAAATTCAGCAAGTTTTCTCTAAATTTAGCTTTAATTTATTAGAATGTAAGAACTCAAAAATTATTTTCCTGTTCTAAAACCATCTTTATCAGTTTTCCTTTTAAAAATCTTGTTAGCGGCCAAATTTTCCCAATCTTGTACTCTCTACTTAGGTTAAAATGACAAGTCTTAATAACTCAGAGTGAGCACTGAGATTGAGAGGAAAAATTCTTGGCATACAGCCTCAATGAAATGTTGAGAAGCATTGTTGGAAAATGCAATTTTAATCATTACGTTTGGAATTCACATTCTTCTGAGTTTTCTCTCTGCACTCTTAGTACACTAGAGGTCACTGTGATACCATTGCAAGGCTACTGAAGAAGGGATCTTAATTACATGTTTGGCGCCACTGCCTCCTGGTAGTTTCAGTTGTTGGTAATAATTTATTATGATTTTAAAGAAAATAGAACAAGCTATATTTTACTTCTCTATTTTTAAAGAATGTCAAGAGTTATTTTAATTTGCATATTAACAAATCAGGGAAAAATAATGTAACTGTTTGCTCTCAAGAACCAAGAGTATTTTTCTTCAACAAATTCATAAACTTAATTTGGTGCTCTTTTTGGTAAATGAGACCCACTGATTCCAGTTGGGCTAAATCACTCTTTTAGAAAGAAGTACGCAGACCTCCCAAGCTCAGATAAGGTGGGACAAAGCTGTGTAATGTTACCTAAATAGAGTGGTATTTTATGGAAACATTAAAAAAACCCCACAATCTTGCTTTATTTACTTAGAAAAAATATAGGACCTTTTCCCCCACATCACAATTATTCTTAAACCAAGACACACAATCAATGCAGTTATCTAATTGCATGGATTATATTTTTTTCCTATCATAGAAATTTATAAAAGGCAAACTTTTTTTTTAAAAAAAATATTTTGGTACAAAATTGCAGGCAGCAAGCAACAAGTAAATCTATAAGAAGCTGTAGCAGAAGATGGGGGAAACCCAGCCCAAATTATGAAATAACTCTTCAAGGAGCAAAAAAGCACCAAGAAGGGAAAATAAATTCTTCATGCACCTGATGTTAGTTGGCATTCCCATTATCATGTGAGTAGACAGGATGCTGGATACCTATGTTTCCGAGAGGTGTACATCCTGAAGAGCTTCTGTTTATTACTATAAAGCTTACTAGGAGTGAGGGGAAATAGAGGATCACATTACTAAGCATACCAGGTGATGAAAAGAGTTAGGTTTTCCATGTCTCGCTTTTATCTTCAACCAACAAATAAAACATTCATAAAATTATTATTAAGTTTACAGTTTATATTAAACAAGTTATAATAAAGAATATTAAAAAATTACCTTCAAAAGTCATTAAAGATTTATATTCCCTGAATGTATGACTACTGTAATGTGGGAATTTTATAAATACTTGTTTAGCATAGAAACCAACTTTCCTAACATTCATTTCTCTATTGACCTCTGAGGAATATGTAACCTATTTATGCTTTCAGCATAAATCCTACCAGAGAAATTAATTTTATTCAGACTATATAGATATTTTAACGTGCTTAAAATTGGGTATTAAATTAACCTATTAGTATCTTACTGTATGTATAATAATACATCCCCAAAATAGATATTTATGAATAAGCACTATTTTGTTAGAAAAGGAAATGATTTTTATAGTCATAGTCATAAATATGTAACATGCAGTAAAATAGGAAAAAACCCTAAAATCTTACATAAAAATTTAAGATTTCAGATAAGCCTATAATGTTAATATTGGTAGCTTATTGAAATATTACATTTATCTTTTGAAAACAGTTATTCATGTGACAAGTTGGTTTGTTAATGTAAGTTATCATAAGGCTGTATCCACATGTTTAATTATCCTTTTAAAATGCTTAATTTGTATATTGATACCAATAGAGTACATTTGAAATGCTAGTAGAAAATGGCACTATAATACTCTAGCGAGACAACAGTTTGGAAGATGACCGTTAAAATTCCTGTTATGTTATTATATTCACTATAAGGCTTCTGGTGGCAAGGAATTGTTAATTCAGATTATCCTGTTTAAAACAGTTGTGCATTAAACAAGAAAATAACTATACATCTGCATAATGAGATTAACTACACAAAACATGAACACAGCATAGAGGGAATGTCCACTAAACAGAATGCTAAACCTGAATTGTGATCATTATGACCTACACAAAAGGCAGTTTGTTTTATTGAAAGTGGTTTATTTAATGAATATATAGGTGTATTTGTATGATACAGGTTTGAAATACCAGTATTATAAATACTAATATGAACAATTAATGAAAATCTTGTTAGTAAATTCAGTTTTGAAAGGTACTGAATTATTGGCAATATTTTTCTAACACATAGGCAATTAGATTTCCTGGGAACCGATGCACAATTTTTTTTTATTGACAATGTTGGAACAATTAGCAAACCATATACAACCAGTACTATCTTTGATCTAATATATTTAATACTGCTCTAAGACATTCTAGTCAACTTTAGATTTATACGCCCAATCTTACAGGTAGATTTTGACTTACAATGGCAATTGGGATTGGAATATCTGCCATTAAGAGATGCAGTCATAAAGCATGACCGAAAATGCTCAGCAATGGCAATCCTGGAAATCTCAGTCATCATTAACCGGGTCCCGACTATTAGGTGAGACAACTTCCTACTAACAAATTAATGGAACAGCTGGCAGGAAGTTGCAAGCAAGGCAGGTAAATGGCTGCTGCTGGGTGGAGGACGGAGTGAGGGAATGCACAGTGTGCTAGGGAAAGTCAAGTAGGATGGTATGACACAGGGAGGGTACACGAGAGATGTTAAATGGGCTGGAGGGAGTGTGAGGGAGGTGCAATAAAGGTTGGGAAGTGTGCCTGAGGGTCTGTGAGTGGTGAAGAGGGTGTGAGCACAGAGGAGCAGCAGGAGGGTTTGAATATGTGACTTTCTCTGCTGGCTTCCCCACTGACTGCCTGGGGAAGCCAGCAGAAGTTATAAATGGCAATCACATGATTTGGATGCATGTCAACTGGTTGTAAATGTGAATAGGTTACCAAACACCTAGATCATGATCATGTGACTGTAGGGGTGCGCAAATGGCTGGAATTATAAGGATTGGTTGTAACCACCATTCGTTCAGCCCCGTTATAACTTCAAACAGTTGCTGAACAAATGGTTGTAGGTCAAGGACTTCCTATATTTGTATTTTAGGAGAAAAAGATTAACAAATACCTAGAATGCCTATAGATTTTAGGAGAGAATCTCAGGATGCCAAAAAGGTTGAGTAGTATGTAGGAATGGTCAATCAATCTAGCTAAGTGCTTCTATCACCCTACATACATATTTGAAGTCCAGTGGGATAGTGACTTAAGCTCACATACTTTTAAAAGAACAAGGCAAATTCATAGAAATAACTTTTATTTCTGGCCATTAATTACATTTTAAAAGAATGTATTTATCAGAAGGCAACATAACAAAGAGGATGGTTATCAAATTTATAGTCTGCTTATGTAGTAATCTTCCAGGGATATCTGTCCAATCATACTGGAAATAATTTGATGGTCTAAATTAGATTTTTATGATCTGTTGCTGCTGCCACCAAACCCCCAAGATACTTTGACTTACAGTTCCCATTGTGCATCAGCAGCAGATCAAAGCTTGAGAGATACTTGGTTGGAGAAAGATGGACTAAATGCAAGTGAATACAACTAGGTACCCTCTAAATATTTTGTAACTTTCATTTGTTCCAACCAGCATGATTAATGATATGGTATGATGGAAAGTATAACTAATCATCCAATGGGCATCAGATTGCTCAATCCTCAGGTAGTCAGTTATATACAAAGACTGAATCAAATCAGAATTCTTCCTATACTTTAGCTGCTGTATAATAAATGGATCTGTCAGATCTTGGTTATTTGGTTGAACTTGATGACTGCAGCTGAGGACAACAGCAGGATTTTCATCTGCTGATAGCAGCCTTTCCTGCATGACTGCCAGATGGCTAGTTTCAAATGTCTGACTAGCAGGGCAGCCAAAATATTCTATTTCTTTAAATAATGACAGAAGTGTATATGTAGAAGAGCCTAGTAAATGATTCAAAGGTATATCAAAATAAGGATAAAAAGCTATGTAGCTAATGCATGTATCTTTCCCCCCCCCCCCATGTATATTTGTTCATCTTTTCACGTTAGATGGTTTAATTCAGACTTAGAATTTATTTACTTTACATTTGCATTCTAGGAACTTAAGGAGGTATGTATATTACTCCCTCTTTCAAATTTTTATCCTCACCACACTTTATCTGGTTAATTAAACTAAGAGATAGTAAGTTTTTCAAAATAATCCTGCATGCTTTCTAGATGAACTGGGATTTAAATATGGGTTTAAATGTGGATTTAACTCAGGGGCAGGTTCCAAATCCTGTTGCTACCAGTTCGCTCTAGTGCATGCGCATTGTTGTGGCCCGCCAGCAGCCTGCGCAGATTGTTGCTGATCCCGACAACAAGGAGTCGTCATGCCAGTAGCCTGTGCAGCCGGTGCTCGAGTCAGACAGCGAGGAGGCTGAAGAAGATGTAGTGCCAGAGGCAGGGATTCAACCAGGGCCTTCAGAACCTCCAGAGGCTCCTTTAAGTGAAGAGGATGAAGTGGAGGAGCCTCTTCTCAATGCACGAGCACGCAGAGCTGCCAAAAGGCAGGAGTAGTTACTCAGGAGGAGGTCTCCTTGAGAGTAAGGCTTGGGGCTAATTGGCCACTCCCTTAGCCTATTTAAGTTTGCACGCAGCTTGTAAAAAGGTGCAGGAAACAATGTACATTCGTTCACTAATCATTGAATTTGGATTTTCTCTGCAAACCTGGCTTCTGTGATTTCTGGCAACTCTTGTAAGACTCTATCTTATCTGTGGAATTTCTGGCAGGTTGTTAAGAACGTTTTATTAACAGCCTGCATTTGCAAAAGACTGTGTTTTGAAGTAAACTGAATTTTGTTCGAAGTTTGTGTGTGCTACATTCTTTGGGATCCATAGCTGGGGCAGAACACGCATGCTCATGCATGCGCATGGCACTTCTGCACATGCACAGAAGTGTCTGGGCGGGTGGGCGGAACCTCCCAGCACCGCTGCTACTGGTTCGCCTGATCCAGTGCAAACCGGTAGCAGCCCACCATTGGTATAGTCACCCTGATTCAACTTTATAATCTCTATAGTATATTGGTTTTTAGTCATTCTTCCAACAAACCAACTACACCAGTAGAATATATAATAGAAAAGATAACCTAAAAAGACTAACACTGTTTGCAAAGGCAGATTGCTATGGGCAGGTCCTTTCTCTGAATGTAGCCCATAGTATTTTTAATGAATCAAAACTATTACTTAAGCATATCCTACACTGACTTTATTTTCAAAGTACTTTACAAAAGTAGAGAACAAATATTTATTCAAATCAGACAAAATATTCTGATTAGTTTAAAATCCTCTCTATCTCAACTTAAGACCTTAATTATCTAACAAGCTATGGCTACATTCTATAGAAATCTGTCATTTTCCTGCTTCTTAACAGAAGAACTTTCTGGCTTTTATACTTGAGCGACATTTTGTCTGCTTCAGAATAATGATCTACCTAGGAAAAGTTTCCCCCCTTTCTCCTAATTGGATTCAAACACAGCCTTTAATTATTTTGCAGTAAAATAATATATTTCCTTTCCCAAAGTGGTATAAAATTTCCAAAATAACATTTAAGATTTTAAACAATATACATAAAAACACTACAAACCTGCTTGATGCTTCCCCTTGTTCTTTCCTTCATGAGTCAGATAATAGAAGAGAGAGGGTTTTGGGGAGGAAAAAAATTTGTTATGCTGGCAGTACCCATCATGATGTGGTTACAAATATTATTAAATAATTTTTAAGTTGCAATTGGATTTGTTAATTAAATGAATGCTTAAAAAAACTATAAGCAAATATTTTTTTAACAAGCAAGCACAAACATCCAAGCATGGATTTTTATTTATAGTGACATTAAAAAAAAATACTATGTTAATGCATGC